TTATTACATGTTTTTTTCACCTTGATTACACGTATTACGTGTTGTTTGAAGAATTACAATTTAAGTAATGGTCTCGCCAAAACAGTTTTTGCCATTGCCAGCTTTGTCATTGCCAATACAATTAGTAATAACAATAACAAATTCTAATGCGGTTGAAGTATTACTAATTAGAGAAGTGGTTAAGCGCAAAATTGTGTTTTGTCAGGCTTAAGGAAAGGTAACTTTCACAATATAACTATTCAAGATTCATGTAGTATATTCACTTTTAATTGCTTAAGGTTATTATTATTACTGTTATTTATGAGAGACACGATTTTAACGTTCAATATTTTAATAACCAAAAACAAACGGTGTTCATCACGAATGTCTTATTAAGATATTATTCGAATCCTTATCAAGGGGTTGTTAAGAGTCGGAGTCGTGTTTCGTCGTTCCCGTGTCGTGTGATCTGGTAAAAAAGGCAATCATATAGTATTTCTAGCGAATCATCATTAGCGAGCTTTACAGTAGAGTGATTTTAAGATGGACTGGCAAATGCTCCAACTATCAGAAGCCATAAAAATACAGCATGAACTTAGAAGGGGAAACTAGGAAATGGGATCAAAGACGGAAAAAATGAGAATGCTGATTGATTAACTCATCGCCTTATTAATTTTTATAGCTTTCTTAACTAATACTGGGTCTTTATTAGGTTTGATAAGATAGAGAAGAGCTCCTACACTATATAAATATAAGCTGCTATAGCGATCATAAGGTAGCAAGTATACACGCAACCTCCAATCCTATAAATACGTATGTACGTAAAACGATCCTCTATTGAAATCGGGCAAAGGGCTTAAAGGTTCCAAAGTACATGCCTATTTATTTTGATCTCAAGTGACATTCCCTAAATCATTTGTGAAATGTGTAATTTTTAGACCTTCTCTCTGAGATAAATCGTCTCTGTGGGTTGCCTTAGAAACAATTTAGCTTGTCGCCTCTTTATATGGATTGATTAATTCTCTCGCGTAATGCCTTGGGGCATTTTAAATGAAAAAGTTAAAGGAAGAGCATAATAGTTTAGCTATAATCTCAGTTTCATAATTTCGATTACTTTTTTGGTTTCAACCCTGTTTCATATAATATAAAAACATAAACTCTTTATTTTACCTCCAAAACTTTTGATGTTAGTCAAAAAAAGAAATTGTACTACGGACATGACTGACTTTAACACACAAACATAAAAAATATTTGGTCTGATAAATATATCTATTAACAAGTTAATAACCCTAAAAACAAAAACTGCTCAATGAGACTGTTCTAATAAGCCCAAACATGGTATATACTCGTATGCTATTATTTTCTGAGGAGTTGGCTATTCCGCATACTAAATAATGCAGCAGCAAGTTCCAAGTTACTATGTCGTGGAAATACCATCAAAGTAACAGTATACCAAATTTCTAGACTTGCAACGAATATTCGGTTACTATTCGGTATTCGGCCTATTCGGCTGCTTTTATTAAATTCGGCCGAATACCGAATATCTACATATTATTCGGCCGAATACCGAATGCTTAAATGATATATTTTGTCATAGAGAAATAATTGGTAAAATGAAAAATTTAAATCTATTGATTACGTATATATTCATATTTTCATTTCTGTTATAATCATTTAAGTAGTCATTGGTGCATAACACAGGTACATAATCATCTTCTGAATTCGAAAAATGGAGGATTCTATGTATTTGAATTATTGTGGTAATCAAAATTTAGAAGGGTAAGGTTCTCATTTCTTTTATAATCATTTATTAAGTAGTCATTGGTACATAAAACAGGTACATAATGTAATCATTTTCTGTATTAAACAAGTTAAGAATTTTTCTATGCATTTGAATTATTTTCATTATCAAATTTTAGAAGGGGAAGGTTATGGTGCTGAAAGACTAACTTTTCTGCATTTTATTTTGTCGAAACATGCAGTGCGTTAGCAATATACCGCGCAGAGAAACAGCGGGCGCGCGGGCGAAACAATCACATCTGTACAAGTTTTTGGCGCTAAAATCCAGCCGAATACTTTTGCCTAATATTCGGCTATTCGGTCAGGGGCCTCGCCGAATATTCGGTATTCGGTATACTGCCGAATATACTATTCATTGCAAGTCTACAAATTTCAGATCAATCGGACTTGTGGATTTTAGTGAGAGCCCTTCATCACCAGGGAAGTGATGGTCTTCAAAATTTATAGCTTAGAACGTTCTCAATCACAGGGGCTATATCATAAAAATCCGCAACGACATCGGTCCATCCGTTCGGGAGCTATATTACTCCAGACAGACAGATACACAGATACACAGGTTAAACTTTTAAATTTTCACCATTCGTAAGTAACTTATGAACGTTTCGTTTCCAGCAGCAGTTAATTATAATAACAAAACGTCAAGCCACGGCTCAATAAGTACAACTTTCAAAATGAGTAAAGTTTTAAATAAATGTTTGAAACAAATCCATCTGCGAGTTTTATTGAGGGAAACAATTGGAAATGAAACGTAAATTACCAAACGCTTTCGTTTTAAATGACCTTTTAGACGATTAACTGGGCTGCTAGGGATGGCCCTGGATATTACATAATATCGTTCATGAGAATAATTCTTTTGGAAACGACAGTTCAACTTTTAATGTTATCTTTTTTAATATAACACGAACGTAGAACATTGCTTTTTAAGCCTTAGTGGCCTGCTGAAAGCTCTTTTGGTTTTCTTTCAGTGTCCGAAGAGTTTCTTGTTTTTGAAAAGTACTACCAACAATCATGATGCTTGATCATGAAGTTTAGAACAATGTAATTCATGACAAAATTTTGTAATCCACAAATAGTGGTTCCGTGAGTAGACTAGTCTGTGGATTACAAAATTGTGTCCCACGTGGGAATCGCTCGCATAACACTCGGCGCTAACGACCACTGTAACCAATGCAGTACAATCTAAGTATGCACTATCATATTGTTTCAGTGGCATAGTAACCAAACAGTACTATAAAATATTTAGGTAATGCGTCACTAGTAATAATACTCGTAACTTCATATAATAACTTCTGATGCCACACACGGCCTTCTGATCTCAAACTGTGCTGTGGTAACCAAACTGTTGAAAAACACACATATTTCTAAATACATACATATTATAGATAAATTACACACAGAAAAAATTATATAATAAACACACAATATTTGTTCTGGTATCAAACCCACGACCGCCGGCTTAGCAGTCAGTGTCACTAACGCCTAAGACCAACAGACGTGTCAAATAATAAGTCACTACCCTATTTCTTCATAATATATTAATTCTTGCCTTTACATGAGACTTATTTTTTTTTAAATAGTAACTTACTCAGCCGAGGAAAATCTCAAAACATTCCTTAAATATTTCCTTGAAGGCCCTACGTAAATATGGCTATTAGATTAGTGAAAACCTTTACTTCAGTAATGGACTCGTTTAAAAAGCATCGCCATTACTTTTCAAGCAAGGATTAATGGAAACTGGGAGCCGAATGGAAATTGAGAAAATGGTTTAGAGGAATCTTACTATGTTTACACAAGACGTAGATATAGACGTAGACGTAGTATTAGTTGAAGTGTCATTATTGACTTAATGATACCTATTGCTATAGGCATAACTCCCTTTTACAAAGAAATATATATCTTTACACCTTTAACTTGATTGAGAATTTAATTAACGCTACAGACTATGAAAACATATGACTAAGTTCGAAGCTTGGAGAATTGAATTGCCATCAACAAGGTAACAGCAAGGTAAGTCCGGTTTATTTCCTTTTAGAGTATAAAATTCGATAAATGTTTCATTTCTAATAGAAAATAAGAGCCCGTAGACTTCTTTAATCTGACCCTGCAGCAAATTGTATTCTTAGCTGACATCCGATACATATATATTCGTTATACACTTACAGAAATGTATAGGAAAGCAGACAGAAAGGATTTGCCTATTGCCATTAAAGCCTTAAGATCTTCTTAGCCTGACCTTGTTGCAAATCTCTGCTTAGATAAATTCTCCTACTTACAAAAAAAAACTGGTTTCTAGTAAAAACACTAAGGTTATTCACATAAAGTCGGTAATACAACGTCCTAATCGATCGTAAAATTCCTTCTTAGTTGACGTATCTTATCTACCAAATTTCAGATTTCTTGTATAAAAACCCCACGACTTTCAAATAAAGTTGTGCAAGCCCTTAGAACTCCTTAAGAAGACCCTGTCACAAATCCCGTTCCTATCTGACGTCTGACACCTAGGTTTCGACTACTTTCCTACTAAATTTCATGTCACTTGAAAAAATATTAAGGTCTGCCATATTTACTCGCGACAACTCTTGAATTTCTTTAATCCAGCTATTTTGTAAAATTGTAGATACATGGCCAGCATTTTCAGTGAGACGAAGAAAGCGTTGAGTTTCCTGTTAAGATTATTTTTCGAATTCAAAAATATCAAAGCCATTAATCATTTTTTACCAGCCAATAGTTGGCAGCCACCTCGAATATGACTTGTGTAGTGTGTGACCTGTGTAGAATCTGATCTGTAACACTTTTATTGACCGTCTAAAGAGCATACAACGATAATTTTTTATGTACAGTCAATCCCTTACTAGTTGATAGAAATACTTGGTTATTAGTAGGTAATAAAAGTGGATAGAAAAACTTGGTTACTTAACGCTATTGATTGTAAACTACACTAAAGAAAAAAAATAGGTTGCTCAATTAACATAATCAATAAGGCGGCGAAGCGCTTGCTGCTATCACCTTTGATGTAACCTGTGACACATTCTGTTTAATAACCTTGCTAACATACCCATAGTATTGATACCAGCTACATTACACGATAACACTTGCGCGTTGGAACCGGGGAATCCTATTCCGTGATAAGATCTAGTATAAAAGCTTACAAAGTTTAGAGTATGTTATTCTAGTCTCAAACCTCAATCAAAACGCACTTTAAGTTTTACTATAAAGTCAAAATGTTTTCTATGAAGCTTTTCTGCGCAGCGGTCCTGTTAGTAGGAGCAAGTGCTATGCACATTCAATGGGAACTTGAGCCGGTTGAACTAAACGAAGAGTATAGATATCCAGTAAACGATGTCTACCAGGACTTTGAATACCAACATCCCAGCTACGTAGCAAGATCTAGGGCACGTCGTCAAGCACAAGGCAGCCTCACTTTCAACGGTGATGGAAGTGCCGGACTGGGTGCCAAAGTTCCACTTGTTGGTAACGATAGGAATGTTTTGAGTGCAATTGGAAGTGTTAACCTTGACGACAGGATGAAAATGGCTTCCAAAGGCATTGGATTGGCTTTCGATAACGCGTAAGTAATTATTGTTTGTAATTTTGACTCTGAACTTTTTATTAGGTCACATCGTTTGCTTTATTCATTTTGATAATTTATGCCTTTCCAGCAATGGTCACGGCGTATCAGTAATGAAGGAGACGATACCCGGGTTCGGATCCAAGCTGACTGGCGCGGGCCACGCAACTCTATTCAACAATGATAAGCACAACGTTGGTGCCAACGCCTTCGTCTCAAAGAATATGCCCAACATTCCATGTTCCCAATTTCAACACTGTTGGTGGAGGACTTGACTACACATACAAGTTAGTATAAATCTACAGTTCTTCCTAGCACATTGACTTGATCCAGACAAACTTGCGTTGTTCTTGTAGATATTAGAGTATTATGGCCAGGATGCAAGGGTTGTGACAGTTTACGACATGGCCAATTGGCAAGCCAAATTACTATTATTAGCAGTTATCTCATTTATCTTACATTCATCTCCTAATATGGTTATCTTACTAAGAACAACCAGGGTCCGAAATCGATATCAGAAATCTAATATGCGAATTAGATGTTATTCCCATATTTATGCCATTTACTGTGTTAATGTATTTATATCTCTGATGTATTAATTAATATTTAAATCATCAATTTCAGTAATAAGGTTGGAGCTTCTTTGGGTATGGCACACACTCCATTCTTGCAGCGCAAGGATTACTCCGCGATGGGAAACTTAAACGTATTCCGCAGCCCGACCAGTACTGTAGACTTCAGCGCTGGCTTTAAGAAATTTGACACTCCCTTCGTAAGCAGTGGCTGGAAACCTAACTTTGGACTCACCTTCGGCAGATCTTTCTAGGCAAATATTTGAAATATTTTAATGTATGTCTCAGTTAAAACATTAAAATAGTCTGGTTACTATTTTATATTATTTGTTTAAGTCTTCGTATTGCATTCATATCCGTTTTCTTTTGATTGTATATAAATTCAAATAAAATAATGTTTAAAAAAATTTTTTTTTTTTGAAACTAGTTATTTAAGTCACATCATAATAACAGAAAAGATGATATCACCTTACAATATTGATTAGGCCACAATGGAAGAGGTTTGAAACGCCAGCATTGGGCCTAAGAGTGAATTGTTTTGGTCACGGTTTAGTGAATCAGATTATTATTTTGACTATCCCAGATCCTATGGGAAAATTTCAAATGTTTTACAGTATACTGTCTGTGTAGTGACGGATTAAGAATACGAAGTGTCACCACCCCTAATTATCTTATAGTGTGGTAAGAATCGACTAAGGGAGCAAACTCTCTAGGAAAACGGCAGTGCAAAGAGAAGGAAAACTTGAAACAAACCCTACACAAACCCGTTTGTCCAGCGTGGTGTAGTGGGTCAAAACCACCTTTCTAAGGAGAAGCCAATGTCCAACAGTATACTGTTATAAGCTAATGATGATGATGTACTAGTATAGAAGATTGTGTAATTTTAGTCATTTCTAATTGAATGTAACTTAACAGTTTTCTTATCAAGTTATAGGTTTATTAATACTTCATGTAAATGTGCTAAATACATCAACTCGCTGCAGTGTTTACAAAATCAGCTTCAATAATTACTAACTGATTAAAGATCGTATCACAATTAGCCAACTGTAGGAATAATAGATTGTTTAAACTGAATCAGATTTTTTAAGTAACTCATTGGGAAAATATAAACAAAAGCGTCATCATCATCAGGCTATCGCAGTCCACTGCTGGATATAAGTCTCTCCCATTGCACGCGTCTTAGATCGATTTTGGGCCACATAACTTTTAACATAACATTGTCAATTGCGTCATCATATTTTGGTATAATATTTTCCTCAAAATATTTGCTTGTGTAATAAGTGATTATTATTTTATCGGTTCTTCCCAAAATACGTTACTATCAATAATTTTCTGATTTGTCTGTCAAATTACTCACGATAAATGTAATCGAACTCAGTTTTATTTTTTGCAAGATATCATACATATTGGTAAATAAGCCATTGAAAAAATTACATAGGTATAGCGTGACACAAAAGCGTCTCCTCTTTTGAAGTAAGTTCAAAAGACACAACTAACAAACTCAAAATGATCTCTTACTGTACTCGACAGTATAAACTGCTCCTTCCAATTGTGGCAAAGTTTTTTAAGAAGGGTTTGTAACAAGTCGTAAGTTGTTATCGTTTGTTAGAAATGGTAAATAAAAGTTGGGATAACTCTTTAACCATATTCGGCTTGCTAAAAATGAAAAGTTTAGAAGTAATTAATATATTCAGTACAATACATAGATTAATTTTATGTTCATAATCTGCATTAATGCTGCGAGGTTTGCAATCAACGAAATAATTCAATTAGATGGATCACAAAACTGTTAATTTTCGTGTAACTCATAATCTCTTTCACAATATCATTAGGCATAAGAATAGTTAACTGTATTAAAAACATAGAGACTGTTGGATACTGCTGTATGTGCTGTACAATCTGCTGATTGTAAGGTCAGAAGGCGTGAAATCAGAATGTAAGGTCTTAAGAAGTGTATAAGGCTGAAGTATTCGTGCGCCTTGTTAGTAAAAAAGGGGCAAGACTTACTAACCGGGGTATCCTTTACTAAAAAACCATATAGTATAAAAAAAACTTTAAATCATATCAATAATCATCGTATCAATCTCCATGCAAGACCATTTTAAACTAATCCTAGCTTGCATACAATACCTACATGTTATCCAGATGTAAATCTCTGTGGTTTTCTTGACAACTATACTATTAGCACTAGCAAGCTCTATACACATTGCATACGAGCATAAGCTGGTTAGAATATGTAGTGTACTTCAGTAATCAGTGCTTCCCTGGCATGACGTATACTCGACGATTGTGCAGCCATGGAAAACTTAAACGTATTCGAGAACTGCACCAATATTTTATATTAACTTTTGTATTGTAGTTTTACTTTTATTAGGAGTGGATTTTGAACATTTTTTGTTTGGTTTTTGTAATAATAATAGATTATTAAAGGGTTCTCACATAAGAAAACTCCTATTTACTTACCTACATTATTAGGGAAACATTTTTTTCTCTAAAACATTCCTCGAACGAAGACTTATAATCTTTGAAATACTTGATATTTTAACATTTCAAGGTATGAAAGTCTACAATGCTAGTTCAAGTAATACTAGTAACTGTCTGTGAAATAATTTATTATTCAAAACACTCAAAATTCGACCGTCAGAGAATCTCCAGTTTCTATAATTCATCACATTAAAGCAACTTCATAACGTGGCTGAAATAAAAATATAGGTTTTAGGTTTCTAAAATACTTCAAACCTTCGTGTTCGTAACATTTTTAACTACAATTTACATAAGGAAAATCGATGAGGATAAATCAAACGCACGCTTAAAAGGATAGAGAACTTCACTTTGGTGTTTTGTTTACATTTTTTGCTATTGATTAGTGATAAAAAAATTAAGAATCTCCCATCAGACTCAGTATAAAAAGTAATATTTATTTTAATTAACAAATCCCTCGAAAAGCAATGACACAGCAATTTGTATACACATATTCATTCTGTTAGAAAACTTAATGAAGGAAGATCAACCCAAGTGGGTTCTTAAACTCATTCTCGTTTATGGTTAACTAGCCGTTCCCGCAGTTTCACCTGTGTTAATGGTCATTGCCCTGCTCATAAAGGTAGTAAAGTAAAGTTACGTACCCTATAACTTTTCTCAATAAATACTTTGATCAATACAGATAGAATCCCATAATGCCTTCACATAATGAATAAGTCTTCAATTTTACTATTAATGTAGAAAAATATTTTTTGTTTCACATCATAATCTATTCATCACACTCTTTGCCAATAGATCGTAATGTTTAGTTTAAATTTCCTTTGTTTAAATCAGAACTTCCTTGAGTGGCTTTGATTTGCATCGATGATATTAATCATAGAGTCATATTAATACAAAAATGGAATGTGTTTATTTACCTCAACTTTGTGTTTGAATAAATAAAATCCTAAGATTACTCAATAATTAATAGAAGTCTTATAGAGTATGAGAAAGTTTTTGCTTCTCAGGGAAATTTCACAATTCTCAACTTTTTTTTTTAACTTTAGACAAGCAGTACCTCTTGAGATGATGTATGTCCTGTTTTGTGTTTATATGTTCTGTCTTTGTTATACTAATATACTTGTATTAAATATTTAAAGAAAGTCTCACGTCGATTGGTTTATATACACTTGCATTTCATAAATATGTGTCCCAGAAATGGCAAAACTATGACGTGTTCTATTTATTTGGTCTTAAATGATTAAATCTGTCATTAAATCTGTTCCAAGTTGATGAAGGTAGCTCGTAACATATAAACGAGCAGACGCAGTTGAATTAAGAATTGCCACGTTTTTCAATGTCAGTTACATTATGATTTTGAGATACCTTCCGCTTATTTACCTTCAATAGTTCTAGTATATGCCATTACTAGAACTATAGAAGGTAAATAAGCGGAAGGTGTAGTGGTTAATTCTAGGTCATTAAATATATAATATTGTCCGTGTGGTAACGGATTAATAATACAGAGTGTCGCCACCCCTATTCATCCCGTGAGTGTCGCAAGAGCCGACTAAGGGTACAAACTATGCAAGACAACAACAGCAAACTTGACACAAACCCTTTTTTTTTTTTTTTTTAACGTGTGGAAATCCCCTCGGACCGTCACCCCTCCGGGGTTTGCGGTGGGGTGGTGTGTCGGACTCGGACCGACTAAAACCACACGGTGTGCCACTCTGCGCCTGTAACAGGAGGGATCCGGGAACAGCTGTTGTTAAGACATCCGGACCCCTCCTAGCGCCAGTCCGCTCCTGGTGCGGGCTCCGTCTCAATATTGTTGTTTTCCTCTCTTTAGGCGACGTCCGGCACACGCGGACGCCGCCCCCTCGCGGCTGGCCAAACTAATGCGGGTGGAGGGGAAACCCACCCCGTCCAGCCGCGGCCACACTCAGGGCGGCATGAGGCTGTGGTAGGCGGGCCTCCGCCGCCCGGTTCGCCGGCGGCGGATCGGGTCCGAGTGGAGGTCGTCCTCCCGGGCCCTCTCCGCCGCCTCCTTCCGCGAGATTACTACCTCGCAGAAGGTTGCGACCGCGGTAAAACAACTGTCGCTACCGGCCATGGAGCGTACTACGGCCGGTAGCGAGAGATCCACTCCGATGACTGCAGTGAGGGCCCGGCGCTGCGCCGCCCATGCGGGGCAGACCGCCAGCGTGTGAAAGGGTCCCGTGCTGCCGCCCTGCCCACTCGGCGATGACCAGCTGGAGAGCCTCCACGGCGGCGAAGCCAGCGCGTGGAGTCTCCAGCCGGAACGACCAACGAGCCATCGTGGCTCGGCGAGCGGCTTCGCGCCACTCGCGCACATCCTCGGGCGGAGGGCGAAATCCGCTCTCCGCCCGGAAGTCAGCCACTCGCCGATAAACTTCGGCGAGCACTTCCGCCTCCAAATCCCACGGGGGAGTTCCGGCCAATGCGCATGCCACCTCCGTCGAAACGGTGCGGTAACCGCGTATGGCTCTGACCGCCATTACCCTCTGAGGGCGCCAGAGGCGTACCCTATTCTGGGCGGTCAGAGCCGCCGCCCACACCGGTGCACCGTACAGTGCCATTGACCGGACAACCCCCGTGTACAGCCGTCTTGTCGCGACGCTGGGTCCACCCATATTGGGCAAAAGTCGCCCTAGGGCAGACGCAGCGCCGACCAGCTTTGGAGCAAGCTGTCGGAAGTGCTCGTCGAAGAGCCACCTCCCGTCGAGGATCAGGCCCAGATATTTCATCTGGGCCCGAACCGGTACGAGGACCGAGTTGACCACGATTGAGGCGCCAGGGGGTGGACCACGACGGGGCCCATGAAATAACAGGGCCTCCGTCTTATCTAGGGCCACCCGTAAGCCCAGCGCCTCAATGCGCCCGACCACCAGGGAGACTCCCCCTGTGGCCAGGCGCGCCGCCTCTTGGAAGTTTGCCCCCCGGGCTGTCACGAGGGTATCGTCTGCGTAACAGATTACACCCAGCCCGGGGGGGAAATCGGCGCGAAGGGCCCAGTCGTACCCTATGTTCCACAAGAGGGGTCCAAGAACAGACCCCTGTGGAACACCGCACGACATGGGCCGACACCTCAGATTACCTTCTCGGTCCTCGTACACGACGGTACGCTCCTCTAAATAGTCTGCCACTAGCCGCCTCAGGTACTTTGGCACCCCATGATAGTGGAGTGCTTCCCTGATGCAGCTGAATGGCAGACTATTGAATGCGTTGGCGATGTCCAATGACACCGCCAACAGCACGCCGCCACAGCTCACGGCCTCTTCGGTCACGGCCCTCAGGCGCAACACAGCGTCGACTGTCGAACGCCCCGCCCGAAAACCAAATTGGGCGTCCGACAGATCGGGGCCCACCTCGCAGAGGTGCCGGACGATGCGGGCAGAAAGAACCCTCTCAAACAATTTGCCCGCCTCGTCCAGCAGCACGATGGGCCTATAGGCCGCGACCGAATCGGCAGGCCGTCCCGGCTTCCTCAATAGGACCAGCTTCCCGCTCTTCCAGCACTCAGGGAAGCGTCCCGACGCCAAGCTAGCGTCGAACACCTCCCCGAGGCGGTCTGCCATGTGGTTGAGGGCCAGGGCCAGCACTCGGGCCGGTACCCCGTCTGGCCCAGGGGCGGTGTTCTTGGAACGGATCCGTAGAACAGCCGCCCCTACCTCCGATTCCCTTACGGGCGGAACATTATCCTCCCCGTGCTCCCCGTCGTCTCCGGCCAAGGAGGCCATCGACGGGGGAGTGTGTTCCGCCCGTTGTGGGAAAAGGCCCTCAACCACTTCTCGCAGGAAGCTGGGCTGGAGAGTCTCCGTAAGGGGGGGGCCCGACGCGCGGAGCTTTTGTCGCAGCGCGGTAAGGGCGACCCCAGGGGTCACGATTAAGACCCTCCAGCATCTCCTGTCTTTTTTCTTCTTTGGAGCGGCTAATGGCCAGCTTCAGAGTTTTCCGCGCCCGTCGGTACTCCTCATGAAGCCGGTCCTCTTCACCGTCTCCACGGTGACGCCGCCGACTGCGCGTATACAGGCCGCACGGAGGTCCGCCAGCTCCTGGGACCACCAGTAGACCTCCTTCCTTGGAGGCCGACGACCTCGAACGCGGGGCATGGCCGCATCGCATACATGAGTAATCGCATCGCGAAAGCGGCCAGCCCCCACGTCGACCTCCTCGGTCGGAGCCTGAGGAGACAGCCACGAGTGAATTATGGCTGCCTCCTCTAGTAGGTCCCGGTTCAGCCTGGCAACAGCCCACCGCGGAAAGCGGGATAAACGCCGCGCCACGTGACCCCTACTGGAGTCCTGGGTCCGGGAGAGCTCAAATCGGATATACAGGTGATCCGAGAGCGTCTCAACCTCTTCCAGGACACGCCAGTTCCTTACTCGTGCGGCGAGGGCAGGGGTAGCGAACGAAAGGTCCACTATCGACCCCCCCTGCTGTCGCACGCACGTGTTGGTGGAGCCTCTGTTTAGAAGACAGAGGCCCACCGAGGCCGCCCACTCCTCTACGGCCTCGCCCCTGGCGTCCGCCCTGGGGGAACCCCACGCAATGGACTTTGCGTTGAAGTCCCCCAGCACAAGGACGTGCCCAGACGCTAGTCGCCGTATCGAGGTCTCCAAACTGGTTAGGAAAACCTCGAAGTCGTTCAAACTCCGGTTGGGGGAGAAATAGACACCATATATGGTGATCCCCCCCCACTCGACGGCAACATATCCAGTGCCCTTGTCTCTTAGCGACAAGGGCGGGGAATGAGCCGTCGTGGAACCGACGACTGCCACGGAGCCGTCCCAGTCACCCATCCAGTTTGGACGGGGAGGGACAGAATAGGGCTCCGCGACTACGGCAACACCTATCGACCACTGTGCCATGGTTTGCAGGAAAAGATCCTGCGCCGCGGCACAGTGGTTCAGGTTCGTCTGGACCAGGAGGTTGGAGACTTGATCCATTACTGGATCGTCTCTACAACCTCCTCCATGGCCGACGACGTCGACGCACGAACTACGTCGGAGGCAGCCTGGGTCGACTGGCTAGCCCCTGACGTCTGCCGAGAACTGCGGGGAGGCTTGCAGCCTCTCTGCCCAATCTGGTGATTGGCGGGCTTATTGCCCGCCGCACACGCTGGGCAGTGAGGGGCGGCAGAGCATTCTGCCGCCTTATGCCCCGGTTGACCGCAGCGGAAACACAGTCCGCCGCAGTCAAAACAACTGTCGCACTTGACGCGCGTGTGTCCCGTGGCCAGGCATTTAAAACACCTCATCGGTCTCTCAGGACTGTGATCCTGGCGCTCACGAAACCGATGAGCAGCCTGCCGGCGTCGGCCAATACTTTGGCCGACGCTACGGGACAGCTGACCCACACGGCGCCAAGCCCTCCTGGACCGGGGCGGATGGTGCCGACCCTGACGTTGTCCGCGCTGCACCCCGTCTTCTCCCGGATTACAGCGCGGACATCTTCAGCCGTCACTGAGTCGTCCAGGCCCGAGATGCGCAGTTCCGCGCACTTGGTAGGCCTGGCGACCCTGACACCATCTGTGGCTGCAAATATTCCCCGCAGCTTCTCAGCGAAGGAGTCCGCCGTCTTTGCGCCTTCAGCCCCAGGGAACTCGAGAACTCGACCTCCCGCCTGGGCGAGGCGCATCCTGACCCCCACCGTCCCAAACTCGTTGGCGAGGCTGTCCCGGGCCTTTTTGAAGACGGCCGCATAGGACAGCCCGCCGTCAGCCGCCTCCGGGGACACGGTCACAACTACAGCCGCGGTTTTGGGCGGCTGCAGCTTCCGCGGCCTCTTTGCAGAGGCCGTTGCCACCGGTGGCGAAGGCTGGGCTTGGGCTGCTTTTTGGGCAGCCTTTCTGGCCCGCCTTCGGGACTTCTTGGAGCCCCTCGCCTCCTGCCAACCCTCGTTGGAGGGGGCAGGTGCGGAGGGGCCCGGCAGGGGTGTCGGAGTGGGGAGCGGAGGGAATGCCACTCCGCTCCTCGGCGCCGTTTTAGGCCCCGTCTTGGCCGGCGCCTGGGGATGTGCCTTGGCCGGCGCCTTAGCCGGTGCCTTGGCCGGCGCCTGGGCCGGTGCCTTGGCCCCCCTCCTCGGCTTTTGGGGAGCCGATGGAGTCGGGGCAGACGCCGCCGCCGCGTAGGAGACGCGGCCTCCCACTACGGGGAGCGCGGTCGGAGCGGCGGCCTTAGGCCGCTGTGCCGACGCGAGCGGGGGGCGCATAATCGGCGCAGGGGGCAGTCTCGCCTCCAGGCCAGCCAGGCGTCCGTCTAGCATATTCCCAACTGCGATGAGGATTTCTCGCAGTTGGGAGTCAAATGCCCCTGAGTTGGTGGTAGGGGCAGGCTGGGACGCGGACGGGGCTTCCCGCTCGGGGAGGTTCGCCTGGAAGCGGGCGAACTGAGCGCTCAGCTCGTTCACCCGCTCCGTCAGCTTCTCGTTGGCCACCTGCAGGCGAGAGACGTCGCCCGCTAGGCCCTCCACGACCTCCGACAAAGCGGAGGAGGAGTCCTTAAGGGCCCTCACAAACGAGCCCTTAAGGTTCACGGATTTGGTGGCCACCTTGTCGATGACGGCCACCGCCGCTTTCGCCCTCTCCTGCACGGACACGGGAGCCTGGGGGGCATTTCCCCCCACCGGCTCCCGAACCTTGAGCAGGAGATCCGCGATCCAAGAGGACAAGGAGGAAACAGTAAAACCCTATACCAACCCATCTGGCCAGCGTTGTATAGTAGGCCAAAACCTATTTTCTAAGGAGAGGCTTATGTCCAGCAGTGGACTATTGAAGGCTGTTGATGTTGATAAAATACATAAAGTTTAGACAAATATTTTACGAACGTGTTGGGTATACTTGTAATTAATACGATTACAAATTAAACATAAGAGTTATACTTTCCTTTAGAAGCAGTTTATTTAGAAATGAAATAATTTATGGAGATAGATAGATACTGACAAAAACATAGACTAAACTTTAAAATTATTAAGGGAAAGATCTGCTAAACGTAAGTCCATAATTAGGTTTCCAGCCACTATTCATGAAGGGGGTCTCGAACTTCTTTAACCCAGCGCTAAAGTCCACAGACGTAGTGGGGTTGCGGAAAAGGTTGAGGTTGCCCATCGCTGAGTAGTCCTTACGTTCCAAGAATGGAGTATGCGCCATACCTAAGGAAGCGCCGATCTTGTTCCTGAAATCATTAAAATTAGTTTTTATAAAAGGTCTAACGATAAAAATATTTTAATGGTATATGTGATTTAATAAGCAACGTTATTAAAACAATTTTGGAGTTTTTATACGAGTACTAACTTGAATGTGTAGTCAACTCCTCCACCGACAGTGTTAAAGTTCGGCACCTGAGGGATATTGGGCATATTCTTGGAGACGAAAGCATTGGCGCCAATGTTGTGGTTTTCATTTTGGAAGAGTGTTGCGTGTCCCGCACCCGTCAGCTTTGAGCCGAAGCCAGGAATAGTCTCTTTCATGACGGTTAAACCGTGACCATTGCTACAAAACGAAATGTTTGAATTTAGATCCTATCCCAATTTTGTCAATTATTTCTCATAAATTCAACCACAATGTGTAACTGTATAGCTATTCACTTACACAAATACTACTTACACATTGTCTAAAGCCAATCCAAAGCCCTTAGAGGCTGTGTTCATCTTATTGTCTAAGCCAACACTTCCAATAGCACTCAAAACATTCTTGTCATTACCAACAATGGGGATCTTGGCACCGAGTCCAGTACTTCCGTCACTGTTGAGAGAAAGGCTCGTCTGTGCTTGTCGACGTACCCTTGCACTTGCTAAGAGGCGTGGATGCTGGAACTGTAAATGTCTCGGGTACCTGTAATCTTCTTCCTGTGGAACGAATCTAGCGCTTACTCCCACCAACAAAATCGTTGCAATAAGTAAATTGACTGCGTACATTTTGAGTATTGATATAAAGTACTAGTTCTACTAACTTCAGTTGAGGAATGATATCATTTAAAATAAACCTCTTTTATATATGAAAAATATTGGGAAAAAGGATTCCCCGAGCGTCAGGGTAAATCATAAAATAGTAAATATCGCAAGAGGTTATCGGGATGTAGTACGACTGTACTCTTATTACGATTTATTTATCTAGATCCATACTTCCATGCTTTTATATACTTATAAATTTGAAGGTAAGTTTGCTTGTTTGTTGTTTACGCTTTCACGCCTACACTACCAAACCGATTTTAAAAGTTCTTTCACCAATGGAAAGCTACATTATCAGCGAGTAACATAGGGTACTTTTTACAGCGATGACGACCGATTGACCAAAGCTGGTTGCAGATGTGACCACCAGACCTTGCACCTACCGACTATTACTTTTTCCAAAATTTAGACAACTTTTAGTAGGTAAAATTTTTTGAAGAGTTTGTTGCCTCTCGTCCAGCTGATTTTTACAAGAAGGGCATCAATAAACTGCCAATGCGTTGGCAAAGATGTGTCGATTGCATGGGTGATTACTTCGAATAACAGAAATAAAAAAGTTTGAAAAAATAAGTACTTTCACTTATTGCATACAAAACGGCAATTTCATAGGTAAAGACCTAATATTAACATTTGAATAAATATGTGACCAACTTTTACACATTTGCGTTTAATGATATATAATTATGGTTACTGGAATGAAGGGGATTACCTGACGTATTTACCGGGTTATCACTTAATTTTGTTGGCAACTGGCCATCTGGAAACAGCCATACCGCGGCAAATTGGCAAAAATAAAGATGGATAGTTTATTTTTTCACGGAGTGGACTTGTTGCAACATCAATGCTAGAGAATTGTAAGTTTGTTAACTCAGGAAGGTTATGTTATAGTCGCATTGCCAAAAGTTTTCAAAGCTGTGCAGGAGAGACGACCAAAGATCGGGCTACGGGGAATGATGCTGCACCACGACAATGCGTCCTCACACTCTTCCCTTAGAACAAAGGCGTTTATTCAAGAATCGTCTATTGAACCCCTACCTCACCCACCTTACAGCCCCACTTTGTGACTTCATTTTATTCCCCACTATAAAAGATAAAAGATAAGATAAAATGCAATTTATTTTCAAGTGCCGAAGAAGCAGTGGCTGCCTACAAATCAGCTATTTTTGACCTGTCGGAGGAAGACCTGAATAAATGTTTCCAAGACTAGTTTAGGCGGGTGGAAATTTGTAGAGAGAGTGATGGAGAGTATATAAAAAAATATATATAAATTGTAAAATATATTGTTTGACGACCGAATGGCGTAGTGGTTTGTGTAAAGGACTGCTATTCCAAAGGTCGCGGGTTCGATTCCCGCTCAAGTCAAACATTTGTGTGCATGTACTTTTAATGTTTGATTTGGTCTAGGCGTTTCTATGTATAATATGTATGTATTTACAAAAAAAAGTATATATGTATTTATATCAGTTGTCTAGTACCCATAGTACAAGCTCTGCTTAGTCTGGGACTAGATGGCGTTGTGTCAATGTGGTAGAATATTATTATTATTATTAAGTCAAATTGTTTGCTTTGTTAACATTGATAATTTTATGATTTTCTAGCAATGGTCACGGTGTATCGATAATGAAGGAGACGATTTCCGGATTCGGTTCCAAGCTGAACGGCGCGGGCCACGCAACTCTGTTCATCAATGATAAGCACAACATCGGTGCGAACGCCTTCGTCTCGAAGAATATGCCCAACATTCTAAACGTTCCCAACTTCAATACTGTTGGTGGGGGACTTGACTAGGTACACATACAAGTTGGTACATTTTTTTGTAACAAGTTTATTTTAAACTGTCATTTGCATGACTACGTGAAAAATAAAAGGTAGATTCTTAGTGTTCAGTTCTGTTCTCGTGTTCCGCAGCCCCAGTACTGTGAACTTCAGCGCCGGCTTCAAGAAGTTTGACTCTCCCTTCGTGAGCATTGGCTGGAAACCTAACTTTGGACTCACCTTCGGCAGATCTTTCTAGGAGACTATTTACAAATACTTTAAAATTATCTTCTAATATAGGCAATGTTTGGAGACTGTCTGATGTTCATTCATATTTGAATAATTCTTCAGTATTTCATTTGTATCCATTTTAGTTTTACTAAAAGTGGTATTTAAATAAAATTAGGTTTTATTAAAGAAATTTTATTTCCTAAACAACTGGATATTCAAGCAAGTCTTTAAAGTATGTAGTAGTAAAAAAAATATGTAGGAAACTACATAATTATATTTTTTATTAGTTACGAGTATTAACGCAGAACGTTTTCATAATTAAATTGTAAAATAAAGTGGGAAGATTGAATCTACTGAAACATTTTTCTTGTCACATATTCTTCAATATAAATAATATGTAAAAGCAAAAACACAACTTTTAAAAATAACTTACTGCCGCAACCCAGTTCCCTACCTAAAGTGGTGAGATCCAATGGTAACCTAAGTTAAACTTAGAACATATTTTTATACATAACTATTCATAAAACTAAAAATATTGACCCTTCCTAGTATATACATTTTAGAAACTTGTAAAATAACTTTACAACAATAGGGAGGATACCCAAACAAAACACACATTGAGGCACAAAAAGTAATTAAATTTGCCTCCTTCTCACTTAATTATACATTCAAATACTCCTTATGTTGTGTCTATTATATTACGGTACATTGCATCGCGTAGCCGGGGCGGATCGCTAGTTATTCAGAGGAGAAAAATTAACGTTGATCTGTGCTTTGTGTTTAATTTTATTTAACTTTTTTTTTTTTTTTTTTTTTTTTTTTTTTTTTTTTTTTTTTTTTTTTTTTAAAAGACAACGCCCGCATTAGGAATATATATTCCTGTGTCGCGGGGGACTTTACAAACATACATGAAACGGACACAAAGAACACCCAGACTCAGAACAACAATTTGTGGATCACACAAAGTGTTGTCCTATGTGGGGTTTGAACCCACAACACTCGGCGTAGTAGAAAGCGGCGTGGCGACCACTTAAACCACTACGCCATCCGTGCAGTCATCAACTTTATTCAGTCCCTTCCCTTTATGGTATGATCTATCGAACTTCAACTATTTTGAAAAATACATTGGAGATCTCTCACAACTCCTGAACAAACGAATGAGTCAAATTGTCATTGTCTGCGTAAAACAATTTCGACAAGCGAAACCTGTATCACCCGTTTTTGATTTGGGATTGACTGACAGATAATTTACACTATTACTTATAAGGCATTCGCATAGCGCTCTGTAAGTTTGTATGAGAAGCGGGACGTCAGCTATTACGCGCAAGCTCTTAAATATATATATATTAGTCGTCTAACCCTCGAAGCTGTTGGCTCGAGATGAAGGTTGCATTTCAGTTGATCATCTATTGTGACACCTCGGTATTCTATGGAGGCTTCTCGCGTCAGTGTTGCACAGTCACAAATATGCCTATCTGTACTCCGATTACATGGAAAGGTGTGTATTTTGAGGCAGTATTCAGGAGGAGATTTACTAACAGATGTTATGCTAAAACAGACATACTTGGTCTTATTGGTAATCAGCGACAGGAGACTGAAAAACAGTCAACAAGAAATGACTGTAGCCAATCCACTCGCAGCCATGTCAAATGCTTTCTTCCAGGCAGGCAATCGAAGATAAGACTGTTTAATAAACGTTGCAATCCAACAACTTTGTAAATAGGTGACATATTTGATAAGAAGAGTTTAGTAAACCTTACCATTATGTAAGATATTTACAAGTAAAGACATTATAAATATTCAATATATATATATATATTATTTATTATATATATTATAAATATTCAAATATTATCATTACTTTATTACAAATGCGTTTACATGTCTGAAAAAGCCTGTAGATATAAATGAAAAGTTTGTATCCACTAATTTGTAATTGTAAGTTACAAATTACACAAAATATAAGTTTTTGTTGAAGAATCTTAAAATTTTAAAATGTTTAGTATGTGGTTTACTGAGTATTTTTCTATTTGTTTGATTCATAACAAAAGTCGAAATCTCGTCCTTTTTGTTACTAAATTTGCTATTCGTATAACAGAAGTTTTGCTGACCCGAAATTTTCCGTTGAACGTAAAATCTGAAACATCAAAAGTAAAGTTTATCCTTTTACGAAAAACTCGCAGTTGTCGTTCACTCATAGATTCATCATCACTGCTGTCACTACTTCCTTTTAGTTGAGAGGGAGAGAGAGACAACGAGTGCTGTTACCATAGTGACAACCATTTTTCAATGTTTAACAATTTTTTTCACTTATTAAATTAAGGTACAAAATTGTTAAGTTCTGACACAAGGCGAGTCCACCTGTCGGAATTATTTTACAATTTACAAAATATGTAAGTGTAATTACAGTTATGCGTCCAATAAAACATTTTTTCTTACAAATATTCCATTGACACTTGTAAAGAGAAAAATGATAAAAGTGTAAATTGTATTCTTTACTAAACAGAAACTTGTAGATTTGTAACTTATAAAATTCAATTTACAATTTGTAAAGTTTATTAAACAGGTCCCAGAGTTCATGCATTCTGTTGTCTGCTGTCTAAGGTTTAATTTTTTAATTTCAACATGGCAATTATGGCGTTTTATCGGCGTTTGTGATAAATTTAGGTTAACAGCGTGCAAAATGAAGTAAAGCTATTTATTAAGCTGGGCCATATTTATTGAATTCAAAGTATATGGCGAAAATCTTTCTTTTCAAAACTATATACCTACTATATAGTATAGGTATATACCTACATGAACATTCTTGAATAAGGTATAAGCCAAAATCGTTTAAGTATCAATCTTGTACAAATTTATGCAATAGAATTTTTATTATAAATATTCTTTCTACTTCCTGTCGATATTCAAGTTGTAATCCGAAAATATAATATAAAATTATTTTCAGCAAAACTGCAATTGGATTTAATAAGTTTATGTTTTTTGTATAAAAACCGCATACCGCAAACCATAACGATTTCTGTAATTTTGTTCAATAGTGAAAACCCTTTGTTTTCTCGTTTAATGCTCTATTTTCATCGCTCTATTTTTTATAGATTAGAGAGCAAACGAGCAGATGTGTCACCTGACGGTAACTGACAACCGCCACCTATGGACACTTGCAATTTAAGAGTCAGAAGTGCCACTTTATTACATCCTCACTCACTGGGTACAGCGTAAGCAACAGTAAAATTGCTTAGCTGTGATTGCGATTGCTTAATGTCAAACTGTCTAACATTATTCCACACTAATGGTGGAAAATTTAAATCAATTTTTATTTTGTGCCTCTCGATTTCAAGCAAACAGAAATTAATCTTACGTGTTTGTAATTTTTTGTCAAAACTTAAATTAAAATAAGTTGGTCACACTTTTAAATACCTATACGAAACATATAATTTACACATTAAACATGTTTAATCAACCTTTTTATTATATTTGATAACCTATTGCTCTTAAAGAAGTGATTGATAAATGGGAATTTACATTTTACTCTCATTCCTCACAGACCGGGAAATCCTTTTAACTGTAATGCTTTTTTTATATAAGACGGTGTAATTTTAGATCATATCATTCCACAACTAAGTATACTAAGAACGTTTTGTGTTTCATTACAAAAGTCCACCTTTTTTTTCTGTGCGGAAATCCCCTCGGATACCACTTACCGGTGGCAATGTCGGACTCGAACCGACTAAAACCGCACACCGTCTCAGGTACCAGTAGTCGGGGAACCAGGTGTACCCTAGAAAGGAAATCCCTGGTGCCCCGACGTACCTCGGGCCATCTTCGGCGGGTAGACGACACCCCCTGTGTTAGAACTCCCATGTTCCCTCTGTGCTCCCGGACGGGCGCGCGCGCTTCGTAACGCGCTCGCTGCCACACCGGCCTGCTACTGCTCGGGTGACAGATGGCCTCACCTGTCACCCCCAGGCCTGAGCTTATGGAGGACGGAGGTCGTTCTGTGACCTCCGGCGCCTGAGTCGTCTGCGGTACCTGGCCCGTTCCCGAGCCTGGCGGGCCGGGAGAGTTGTAAACCTCTCCCGGTCTCGCTCCGCTCGATAACCTTGCACGATGCAATAAGGTTATCGAGCGAGAGAACTCCCACTCCGATGTACAAAAGTCCTAAAATGTATGTAATATATTTTGCTACACTTTTTCTTGTGGGTGTAAACGCTAGACACGTACCATGGGAAGAAGAATACAGATACCCGGAATATGTAGACCAGGACTTCCAATTTCATCCAGGATACTTAGTTTAGCAAGTGCAAGAGTACGTCGGCAAGCACAGACCAGCCTTTCTTTCAACAGTGACGGAGTTTGCTAGTTGTATTTGCTTCTACAATTACTACTTGATAGACTATGTTTATCACATCCGTTAATTTACACACGAACTGAAACACATTTGGTTTTTCTAGCAATGGTCACGGTCTGTCAGTTATTAAAGAGACTATTCCTGGCTTCGGTTCAAAAGTAACGGATGCGGGACATGCAACACTATTCTAAAATAAGAACCACAACCTCGGCGCCAATGTCTTCGTCTCTAAGAACATGCCCAACATCTCCAGGTGCCCAACTTTAACACGGTTGGTGGAGGAGTCGACTACACATTCAAGTCAGTAGATCTAAATTATTTTACCGGAATCATTTATTGAATTTCAAATTTCACAATATAAAAGATTGATTAGTTTTTATAAAAACTTTTCCAATAAATTTCAGAAACAAGATCGGCCCTTCCTTTGGTATGGCGCATACTCCATTCTTGGAAAGTAAGGACTACTCAGCGATGGGCAACCTCAACCTTTTCCGCAACCTCACCACGTCTGTGGACTTTAGCGCTGGGTTAAAGAAGTTCGAGACCCCTTTCATGAATAGAGGCTGGAAACCTAACTACGGACTCACGTTTAGCAGATCTTTCCACTTAATTAAAGTTAAATGTTCAAATTTGCTGTATTACCTTAAAACCTAATAAGACATCTTTGATATTGCATTGGGAATTGCGGTATGAAAAAGTCAATCAAATCCATCACAAATAATAATATTTGGGACATCTGACACACAACGCCATCTAGTTTCAAACTACGCAGAAGTTGTACTATGAAACTAAACTTCTCAATTCAACTGTATTATGTATGCATATTTTTGACATCTAAGAACATATTAAAAGATGGCTTAATTATTGTAGACTTTAACCTCTGGTATAAAAAAGTCGAGTCACCCTTCACGATTCGTGCGTGGAAACTTAATTACGAAGTTGTTTATAGCAGCTCCTAGTCAATTTCTTTGTATTTTTAATCATTTCAGCAATTTGAGATTGCAACAACGTAAAAAAAGTGATAACCAAGTGTTCTATTTATTCATCCCAATTTTCACCTACTTTTTAACACATTTTAAAAAGGAGGAGATTCTCGATTCAATAGTGCTTTTTTGTGTTCTTAAAACTTCTTCATTTCTGTATATGTAGTTTGGAAAACTCTTGTTTTAATTGACTGCTGTATACTTACCGTGTGGCCTCATACAAGTTTGATTACTACATACTTCTATGGATGAATAATTTAGGAATGAAAAATACAGTCTACCACAATAAAATTCATCGTGATGTAAGCGCATTAAAATGAGTTAAACCTTTTTTATTATTTACTTAACAGGCACGTTGGTCTAGTGGTTAGTGATTCTGACTAAGTCAGAGGTAGTGGGTTTGATTCCCACCCAGGTCGAATAATTGTGTGATGAGCACGATAATTTGTTCTGTGTGGGTGTAATTTACCTATAGTAATATGTATGTTTATAGATATATATTAATATGTATGTATATAGAAATATACAAATATATTTATTAGCAGTCGGCTATCATAGTTTAATAGTGGGAGAAGTTTAATCATGTAGAAACTTTGGTGGAAATAATGTGTAAAAATTGAGATAATGCAGAACATGCCAAGATCAAATTGGTGACATTACAAAAAAAGGGCGAGCTTGTATGAAGGGTCAGTGAAAGTACACCTGGCTCTTAGCAGGCTTAAGACGAACAATTAAAAGAGTTTGCTGAGAATATTTAGGCTCGTGGTTATCTATACTAATATTATAAAGAGGTAAAGTTTGTGAGTTTGTATGTTCAGGGTAATCTCCGGTAAAACTGATCCGATTTTGAAAATTCTTTCACAATTAGAAAGATATATTATCCCTGAGTACTATAGACTACTCAATACTACTAAACGGTTTGAAATAAAGGAACAATATCTATGGCAAAAATATTCATTACTTTTAGCTTTACAAAAAAGGCTGCGGCACCATATTTCTAAATTTAATATCTGATTGGCTCAGATGGTTTTATGTTAAAATAAATTTCACAAGATGAAGTTTGAATGCAGGTAAAAATTCTTATAAAAGCAAATAGCTAAATCAAAATGGAAATTTAATTTAATTAACTGCCGCAAGAGAAAATATTTAAACTGAACTGAAAGTGGTTTTGTTAATAGAGCACGATTTTATTTATTTTGATCTATCGGTAACCATCTAGTTGTTTTGTTTTTTTAAATACTTAAATTAAATATATTTAAATAGGAACAGGAAGCTGGTATAAACATATTATTTCATCTAAAAACCCGCGCGCATACATAAAATTTCCACTACAAAACAAGTCATCCTAAGGTCAACGCTGATGGTAAACAGCCTGTGTCCTGACAAGGATTATCTTTTCTATTAAGATTTGACTTCAATAACTAGGTTTTTTTTATGTTAGAGGGGGCAGACGAGCAGACGGGACCATTAAATAAAATAAAATTTATTAAATTTATAGTTTTAAAGAAAACGTGGTTTATTTTATTCGAATTTATTTGCAAGCATAAAAATATTTATGAATTTTAAATAAAAACAATACTGAAAATATCATACACATATAAAAACAACACCTAGAACCCAAACAAGGGTTTGAAATGAATTGAAATGTTTTTAAGTATTATACTATCCTAAAAAGATCTGCCAAAGGTGAGTCCAAAGTTAGGTTTCCAGCCACTGCTCACGAAGGGAGAGTCAAACTTCTTAAAGCCAGCACTGAAGTCTACAGTACTGGTCGGGCTGCGGAACACGTTTAGATTTCCCATCGCGGAGTAATCCTTGCGCTGCAAGAATGGAGTATTTGCCATGCCCAAGGATGCTCCAATCTTGTTACTGAAATTAATAGGAAAATACATGTATTAAATTTTCTATAAGCACAGGTGGTTAAGTTCTAAACTATAAGACACTTTCATTTTACTACTAGTACTAAGAAAATGTCATTTCAACTACATTTTAATTCCAGTTTAAATAAACTAATTTTAGAAAGTAACTAACTTGTATGTGTAGTCAAGGCCCCCACCAACAGTATTGAAGTTGGGAACGTTTGGAATGTTGGGCATATTCTTCGATACGAAGGCATTGGCACCGATGTTGTGTTTATCGTTGTTGAACAGAGTTGCGTGGCCTGCGCCGGTCAACTTGGAACCGAATCCTTGAATCGTCTCCTTCATTACCGATACACCGTGACCATTGCTGGAAAATCATAAATTATCAATGTTAACAAACCAAACAATTTGACGTAATAAAATCTACGGAGTCAGAATTTCGAAAAAAAAGTACTTACGCGTTATCGAAAGCCAATCCAATGCCTTTGGAAGCCATTTACATCCTGTCGTCAAGGTTAACACTTCCAATTGCGCTCAAAACATTCCTATCGTTACAAGTGGCACCTTGGCACCCAGTCCGGCACTTCCATCACCGTTGAAAGTGAGACTGCCTTGAGCTTGACGACGTGCCCTAGATCTTGCTACGTAGCTGGGATGTTGGTACTCAAAGTCCTGGTCGACATCATTTATTGGATAATCTTGCTGTTCACTTATTTCAACCGGCTCATGTTCCCATTGAATGTGCATAGCACTTGCTCCTACTAACAGGACAGAGGCAAAGAAAAACTTAATAGGAAACATTTTGATACTTATCACAAGAAAGGATTCCCCGGTTCCAAAGCAAGAGTATTATCATGTAATGTACCTGTTATCTGTATTATAAGCACAGTGAGGTTATCAAACAGAAAGTGCACAGGTCACAATCAAGACGGTAGTCGCACTTACGTGTGAGATATTGCCAAATTATATGAAGATTAATTATTTATTTTAATTATAATTAAAGTAATATAAAATCATGTATGTAATTGCAGATAGTTAATACACATATTTTTATTATTTAAAACTGTACGAATCGAAACAAACAAGTTGATATAACACGTCACAGCTGGTAGTCAGAGGTGGGCGGAGTGGGGTAGTTTGTCATTGTGTATTTAAAAGCGAGTACCATTAATTAGCAAACTCACGTTTTGAAACAATATATATAACTTAAATAACCTGCTAAACTCCCTATCACTTACAATCTCTATGAGGACTTACCTTAATCTGTCATAGTTATGAAATCCATTTTGACGTGACGTTTTTTACTTATATAGTCTTCGTACGTCCCTTCTAAATTTTAGATTTCTGAATAAAATGATAGACTTTTAATTAATCTGACCAGAACCCTTACATATCCTTTAACCGGTTCTCTCTAGAAATCCCTTCCAAATATAATTACAATTATTATCATTATATTTTCACAGTCAATTGAGTCTCGCTAAAATTTCTGGTGAAATCTAAATATACAAAGGCAATTTTGGCACTTTTAATGAATAACCGCAAAGGGTCCGAATTAACTTTAACCAATTCTATTTTTAAACGAATATTTGTAATGTACGAGTGAAACCTCAATTTTACACAATCGAACGAAAGGAATTACAGTTTTGTGTAACAGGTAAATTAGATGATGAATCCTCTATAAAAATCATCTATTTTATTTCAAAGTCACAGTTTTTGAAAGGTTTAAGAAGTTTTGAACTATGTTTAGCTCTTGTAATTTATATGTTTAGCTTTTTTTATTGAAACCACTCATGTATAAATATGAAAAAAAAACGGATCAAATAAGCACTATTTAATTTCTCGTACAGCCAACGTACAGCAATTATTGTTAAGTGTATAGATAGATAAAAAAAAACACATATCAGATGTGAGGTTAAGTCTCAATAAGCTAAGGTAACATGGCTATATGTTTTTGGTTTCACATATGGAACCATCATCCACTAAGATATTTTATTTTAAATTTCAGCAAAAAAATACGGTGCTTCACTGGGTATAGTACATACTCCGTTCCTGCAGCGTAAAGATAACTCGGCGATGGGCAACCTCAATTTATTCCACAGCCTCTCTAGCAGTGTGGGCTTCAGCGCGGGATTTAAGAAGATAAATTCTCCGTTCTTGAACACTGGCTGGAAACCAGACTTCGGCCTAACGTTTTCCAGATCCTTTTAGATCAGATTTGAAAAAAAATTGTTGAAATGATAAATAATACTTTTTTTGTTTATAGAAGTAAAATATTTTGGTTTTATATTTTTATACTAAAATAATTTTGAGAAAAATAATTATTATGGTTTAGATCGACAAATTAACAAATTGTATAATATAATATAATATTTTCTCGGACATCTGACACACAGCTCCATCTAGTTTTAAACTAAGCAGAGCTTGTACTATGAAAGCTAGATTGACTGAAAGAATACTTATATACTTTTTTTGTAAATACATACATATTATACATAGAAAACACCTAAACCCCGAAACAAATATTTGCAGATCATACAAACCATTGTTCAGACCTGGGATTTGAACTATGAGTTATGATGCGAAGCTTAAATTGCCGGTACTTAAAATGTTGAATCACCTTGATTACCACAACGACTAAGAATTTTTATGGTATAGTTTCCTAACAAAATTTAGGCGGTTGTAATCACATAAACAAAAAAGCAAATAACCTGAAAACTATATAACTGGATCCTATAATTAGGATTACTATGCAGATTAGGAGCTCGCTTTATTTTGACACACCCTACGTAACAGTTATCTAAATATAGGCAGATTTAAATTACATTCACCTTTTTTTTGTTGATGGGGAAGAAAATCCCTCCTGCCAGCAAAATTGGGGACGTAGGATTCAGAAGTATATGGTATATCTACTAAAAAACCACCCCGATGGCTGTTCTCAGACACCCTACTCTGGTAAGGCCATGTAATTTCAGGTCCACCCCGAATCGACGTCGTGCCTAATTAGGCTATATCCCGGGGCAAGACGTAAGCCACCCAGATTACATACACCTACAACAGTTTATTAAACCTTACCACAGAATAACACATAGCATTGCACAGAGAAACATAGGAATCTAGTTAACGGGCTAAGCAGTAAATCAGTTCTACCAATAACGTCTCAATCAACCAGACTACCGCAGTCTAATATTGGTAATTGAGACAGGCTTTCTCCCTCTCCTTTGTGATAAGATTTTGAACAAGGTATATTCTACCTACTTCAAGTTAATAAATAGCTATAAATTTAGCTCGCGACTTCACTCGATCCTGAAATGTTTTTTAAACATCAATTAATGTGAAAAATGATGGTATACTTAGTATTATCACGCGAATTGATAACGAATGAATAAATTTACATGGTACGTTAATTCACATACCGTATAATTTATTTCATATTTCATTAAAAAGGAAATTTAAATCTAGTAAAATTCAAACTGGCTTTAGTTCTTAAATCCGATCCGTTCAACCATTAAACCTCACAATCGCTGTATTACCAATGAGGCTACCGTCACTTTAATGGAAAACTTCAGAGAAGTAATATCGATAAGAACAAAACAGAAGACAAGAAGAAAAATAATTGCAAAGAACTAATTTACCTAACTAGTCTCTCGCTTCAATGGATAAATCGTTGGTCTTGTTCACAGAATTATCCTTTAAATTTTAAAAAGAAGAAAACGTAGTACGTCTATAATATTTATTTGTAAAGTTTATAATGAAATAGTCGGTTGAGCAGCTCTGCGCCCTGAGAGTTCGTTATAGACAGAGATAGCCAAGTTTATGAAAATAAGTGGATAGAAACTAGTGGCACACTGAGATCACGTTACAATATTGTTCAGATTTAAACTTTCAATTAAAATAATTATTATTTTCAGTGGATTTATTAAAGCCAATCTGTGTGTCTGCGGTATTTCCGAATCGATACGACCTTCAAACCTTCAAGAAAAGAGAGTACTCCTTCCTAAAAGGCCGGCCGGCCTGAGTTGCAGACGTTCATGGGCGGCGAGGGTCACTTTCCATCAGGTGTCCCGTCTGCTCGTCTGCCCCGCTCAAACATAAAAAAAAAGCTAGTGCCATTTTTCAAGTGAAACCATTTGCCAAAAGCGCATTAAGGCTTTACTAAAACACTGACATTTTGCAAACTATAACTAAAGCAACCGAGCACTTTGGGAAATAATAACGAAAGTTCACAAAATATTGAAAAGGAAAACAGGTACAAGGTGTTTTTCCCATTGCCTTCAATGGGAAAAACAAATGTTTTTATTTAAACAGAAAGACTTTCATTGTAAGCAATAGCTCAAGAAGGTCACGCAGGTTAGATTCCTGTTGTGGTCACATTGTCGGTCACAAATCCGAATTTTCTAACACACGGTTAATGTTTTTCTTAACATAAATATTTAATTGAATACGCAATACAAATATGAGAAGTTATCGTGTTTTCTTGTAATTTATATTGTTTATCTTTATAATATTTGACATGTAGAATATAAGATTTTATTCAAGCTCTGGGTAACCAACATTTTATTCAAAGAAGTAAGTGCTACTGGAATAAAAAATGACATAAGATATTAGACGAGAGACGATATCGGTTCCTCCTTATCTTCTACGCTAAAACTATAAACCTTTTGAACACTGCCTTAAATAAATTCTATCTTATTTAAAACAACACGCATTACACCTCCGTCCTTATCTAGAGACGCACCGAGTTTCGGTGAAGCGCGAAATGGGACGAGCAAGTTGTTAGCACTCTGTCTTATAACAAAAAGTACCTCCTCTTCTTAGCTATGACACTGTTTTTGTACTATTTACTGTTGATCCATTTAAATTCTGAGAGATTTATCTTCAAGCAAATAGTTTGCGATTTGACATTTAAATTGAGAATCATGGGAGAGGAGATATGACCCCTCCTTCTGCAAGCAAGTTATATTCATTAAGGAGAGGGCAAAGTGGGGTGAAGTTTAGAACTCTTCCGGTCCGGCAGGCCCAGGAACGAGCCAGGCACGCCAGGTCGTTGAACGACGTCCAGAAGCAAACCGGGATGCGCTCTTGTGCGGGCGCGCCTTTATGAGACAGTAAGAGGACGCCGTGGTCCCCACACACAATCTGTAAGCCGTAGATGAATCGGGGTAAGGGGCATTTCCTTTCTAGGTTACACCTGGTTCCCCACCTACTGGTACCGCATACGGGATGCAGTTATAGTCGGTTCGAGTTTTATATAATCACCTTCATCTCCACCCAACCGTGATATTAAGTTAATAACTTTGCCGTCCATCCTCGTAATACTAGTTACTGTAGACAATCCGTGTGATGACGGATTAAGAATACCGAGTGTCACCACCCCTCTTTATCCCGTCGCGTGGGTGTCGTAAGAGCCGACTAAAAGAGCAAACTACGCAGGACAACAGCACTGTAAGGATATGGAAAACTTGACTCTAAATCTATATCAACCTGTCTACCCAGCGTGGTATAGTAGGTCCAACCCTCCTTTCTAAGAAGAGACCTATGTCCAGCAGTGGACTATCAAAGGCTGTTGATGTGTGTGATGTGTGTAGACTAGTTAAATCAGTTCAACTGCTTCAAACTATTTTTAAGTATACAACAACTTTGATTAATATTCATCATTAACATCATTATCTAAATAACACTAATACGATTACTAGATACGAGTCACTTATAAATTATATACTTCATCCACATAACCTAACTCATGTTACCAACACTCACTCAACTCATCTCACTTTCTAAACACTTTATTACCAAAAATATAT